CTGATACTACACTTGCTGTGCTCTTTTGTGCACAGATCCGGGAGCAGTCTTTGGAGCGCCGCAGTAGCCATAGTCAGGAGCTAGCCCTCAGTACGGAGACCCCAGGTAGCTTGCTGGCGTCCGCGAGTCCTGGATCTCCTCTATTTTGCTTTATGTTGGTTCCTTTGTTTTCGGAACAGACTATTGTATAATTTCGCTCCAGGCCCTTGTTTGTAGTAACTCTTAGTAGTTTGTGATAGCTGTGACACTCCTTTCTTAGGTAGAGGATCGTGTTAAGATTTCTCCGTTTGGCAATTAATATATTGTTAAGTCTTCCGCTATGTTTAATTTAAGTATAAGGGTTAACTGTTCCTTTAAAATGTCTGTTAATGTTCACATTAAATTGTTTCAGAATTGTTTTTAATTGATGATTAAGAGTATAGTTCAGTGGCTTGCCTAGCTCCCACAGTAGGCGCCATCACGACCCCGACGGTGGGAAATTCGGGTCGTGACAAGTTGGTATCAGAGCATCTAGGTTAATTGGGTCTCACAGCTCACGGACAAACTTAGTAGAGTCTGAGGGATCGGTACGGAGACGTCTGTATTTATCCCCCAGAGGCTACGGAGTTAGGAAAATCTCACTTGTTTCATTCTTGTCGTGCGATTTTGTTTCTCAAATAATGATTGTCCTTCTACTCTGTTTTCTTCGCAGATGGCGAGAACACGAGTTTCTTCTTCTACGGATCAGCAGCCCGAGGCCCCGGCAGCAGCTCCAGCTAGGGGTAGAGGGCGAGGCCGTGCTAGAGGCCGTGGTAGGGGCAGAGTTCAGCCCCCAGCGGCAGCCCCCGTGGTGGAGCCTCATATTGATGCCGAGGAGGTTCCAGCTCCAGTCGCACCAGTGGTTATTCTGGGCCTTCAGGAGGCCCTAGCTCAGATCATGACAGCTTGCTCGGGCTTAGCCCAGATTGTTTCAGCCACCGCCGCTGCAGCTACATCACAGTCCGGGGCAGGACAGCAGACCCCCGCGACTCGTACACCAGACTTAGCGGCGCAGGGATTCCAGACTCCTGAGGCACTGCCAGCACAGCAGGTTGCCCCCGTTCAGCCAGTAGTGCCAGCTCCTACAGTTGCGCCAGCTCAGCCAGAGGCACCAGTTCCGCTAGTCTTGCCAGTACAGCCTACTACAGCAGCCCAGCCAGTTATAGCGGGCCAGACCAGCGAGGGAGCGGCTGCTACCACAGATTCTTTATGGAGACTTGATCGTTTCTCCCGGTTATTCACTCAGACTTACAGTGGATTGCCTTCTGAGGATGCTTAGAACTTCTTATATAGTTGCCAGGAGATTCTGAGGACTATGGGTATTCTGGAGACCAATGGAGTCGACTTTGCTGCTTACCGTTTGACTGGATCCGCCAAGACTTGGTGGAGAGATTTTTGTATAGCCAGGCCAGCAGGGTCCCCAGCTTTGACATGGGACCAGTTCTCTGAGGTGTTTTTGGGGAAGTTTCTCCCCGTTACTGAGAGGGAGGCCCTCCGCCGGCAGTTTGAGCGGCTTCAGCAGGGGTCCATGACTGTGACCCAGTATGAGACGAGGTTCATAGATCTTGCCCGTCATGCCATCATGATTCTTCCCAGCGAGAGTGAGCGGATTCGCCGATTTGTAGCAGGTTTGATTCAGCCCATCAGAGTGCAGATGGCCATTGCCGCCCGTAGTATGATCTCATTTCAGGAGGCGGCCGATGGTGCTCGTCAGATAGAGATGGCCTTAGCATATGGTGGTCA